TGTCAACAGAAACGGCAATGACTTAGTTGCCAACCCAATAACTTATTGTAATTATGAGTATAAAGGCTGGCTTAGTGAAGTGGGAATCAATGAGACGAAATAATGGTCGCGAGGTTGATGGTTAACTTCAAATACACATCTGTAAATGTGAAATCGGGGTCATATTGTTCTTTGAAGTGGGCAACCAGAGAAGGCCATAAGGAAAATGTCAGTGAAAAAAAACACTTGGAAGTGAATCATTGACCATGGAAAATGAGAACAGTTCTGATTGTACCGAACAAGTGAGACTTTTCAGAGTTAATCTGGCTGCTTCTCAAATCCGGTAATATTGTCAACGCTAATACCTGCCGAATAGTTGTGGGATATGTTTCTTCTCCATATATGGCCATTTAAAACGTACTATACCAATAGTACAAGTTAGTCACTCGGTAGAAATAATCTGCCAAAATTCAACTTGCGTCAAAAGACGCCCCCCCTTTCCTCCACTGGTCATTATCATTTTTTTTGTATTCTCGTTAAAAATGTGCTCTATTATGTGCTGCTGGTGTTCACATACACGCAAATCCTACTGGTAAGATAGTGGAAATTGTTTACTTTACACGCCAATGTTTACTCGAAAATTGAATGTGTGTGTGTGTGTGTGTGTGTGCACGTGTGTCACTCTGGACATAAATAAAACTCCAGCGGTCTCACTTAACAATAGGCAGTTTTGACTTGCACCATGACGCTTCGAATCCTTCTTTTTGCCATCCTAGTGCCTTTGACGTTTTGTTCAGAGGAAAACTTAACCACCACCGAGACTCCTACGGAAACTCTGGACAAATTCTACAGTGAATTTACATTGGATAGAAGTGCTCTTCTCTTTAGAAGAAAGCTCTTTCTCTATAGAAGTGAACTCTACTCACCATGGACAGAGTGGGGGCAGTGTATGCCTAAGGATTGCACAGAGTTGAGGTATCGACACTGTCTCAATGATTCCTACGAAGAATGGATCACGAATCTCTTCCGTACCAACAACTGCCCATTCGAGTACATTGTGGAGTCAAGAAGATGTCTCAATGAAACGCTATGTCTTAAGAAGGGTGAGTGCATCTTTTATTCCCCCTCTCTTCCCACATGTTGATCCGCATTTGCGTATTTACGTATGTATCCTTCAAGTCAATGAACTTGAAGCAACATTTATTTATTTATATCAAATGGCAGGCGTTTTGATGGTTATCATTAGCCCTTTAGTTGACTTTAGGCTTCACAGAGGGAGAGGAACATCAAACTGAAAAAAGTCAAGATTGAGGAAGGGTGGAACAGAAGAGTGTTTTAAAGATGTAAAAGAGACAGACACAAAGGTAGAAAAAGGGTGAGGGGAGAACTGTGGAAGTAGTCAAATATGACACATACAGTGGGGTGATGGTGCTAGAAGCCAGAAGTCAACTGCCCGTTAATAGACATTTTTGCTGTATGAGTATACGTTCCCCAGGATGCACCACGTGGAGGTAAGTCTATCGCACA